CGCTGTTAAGTCACCAAATATATGATTATGGTTCCAGAATATCAACAACCTAAGGGTATATACAGTTTTGAATAATCGATATAATCGGTTACACTGTCAATTAGTTGCTGCTGGTGATCTAAATATCATTTTTCGTAAACTGTTTCATTGTACAATATAGTATATGGTATTTTGTCAACGAAGTGTGGCAAATTTTCCTGACCACAGATGTTTGCGCCTGCCACGTCTGGAAACGTATTCGGAGAATTATTCACAATGTTTTTTCAGTTACGGCTTTGTGTGTTATGGGCGATTAGCCTACAGGTGGTTCGTATTACTTGCAATATAAATATTCTAAAACACGTAAATAATGTTCTAGAATAATATAAACATTATTTCATATCCGTTATTCATTATTTCCATCGAGATTTAATGTTGCTAATGCATTGGAAACGATTTAAGACTAGTGCACCATTACTAAATGAAATGTATTAATTTTCTGATTATTTTTTAATCACAATTATAAGTAAGATTCGGATACAAACGTTGAAAGCATTTCAAAATGTCCACTGAATAAAAATATAAATAATATATAATAATATAAATATTTATGAACGTACAGGATGTTTCACATTCTCGTATTTTTTAATACTATGTTATAATGAATTAGTGGCTAATTTCAATTCTCGTAGTATATATGTAAAATAGAATAAAGAAGAAGAGCGAAATTAATGAGGACAAGGGTAGGGTAAAGTCATGAAGGAAGGATATGGATATGGGAACGGATTGATTAACTTCCTTCTTGTTTAAAAGAGGGTTTTCGGGGTCATTATTGGGTAGTCATGGAAGCTAAACAAAATAGCACTTACCTGTTTTTCTGTCGGTCCACGGATGCCGGTGGGTTGGACATTTATGGTTAGAGTGAGGTTTAAATTAAGTGAATCAGACATAGGATTTCATAAACTGGACATTTCTCGATACTTGTACAGTAAGAGTGACAGAAAAAGCAATCAGCACGTACTGATGACTTATAACTAATAGCCTCGATAGTCGGTGCGCACGCAGGAACGATTTACCACGTGCAGCTCCTTGGAGGGTCTGATAAACGTGTTGTGTAGAAGATTAAAGTGTGTTGGTAATTTGACTAAAGGTGGTTTCTTTTAAAGGTTAACCTATGTAAGATCTCAGTGGTGTACTGTTAGGTTTAGACCTTATTATTTGATTTATATTTTATGTTCGTATGTCGAAAGAGCCATTGTTTATTAATTTCTAAACATATGATAATGTCCAATAATGTGTATCATTACATTATCACACTGTTATTACTACTGTGATCTTATAAAGTGTATATATTAGGGACCGTTATCAAGTTCTCTTCTTCCCCCTCCCCGAAATAAGGCATCTCGTTCGAATCAAAATCAAAATTTGAAGTGCTATTATATTCGACTCGAAGAAATATTCAATCGTACCACAGTGGCCTCAAATCTTAATAACAATCTTCATATAAAATAAAAATAAAATTATTATCGTCCCTAATATTAATGATGTGGAGCATAATCGATCAATAAGAGTACCAATAAATAAACACGAATTACAGATTGTTTTCGCTGTGTCAACTGTAGAATCCCAACTATTTTCCACTATCCTTTTTATATTTTTTACGATTTTAAAATTTCAGAAGTATTTCTTATTACATTTGTTTTCAATAACTGTCCTGTTTTGAATGACTTTCAAACACTCGGAGGGAATTAGGTTTTCCTTGGTCGTCTGCTTAGCGTTCGCGTGTTCATGTAACCTCGGTTAGTATTAATCGTAAGTATTTAATGTGTTTAAATGAAAAGTCGAATTCGTATAATTTATTTACAATACATTTAAAAGTTATATTTAAACCAATACTTCAAATAGTTCCCTATTAGTTAATAAATTATTTTTGGATAAATAACGAAAATTATTTTGATATTACGTCTTAAAAATATGTCCCTTGTTTGCCTATACACAGCGCCGCCGTGAATATATTTTATAATTTGAACTAAGACCAATATAAAAATTATAATAATAAATTTATTTTAAAATTTAGTAAAAAAAAGAAAATCATTATAATCTCCCGTCGAATTTTTAAATACGAAAACTGTAAATTAACACAATTATTTATTAAAAAAAAAAAAAAAGGAACTCGTATAAGTATATATTTTATAAATCGCTTAAAGATTTCGTGTATCGATTGAAATGATAATACTAAATTTTTCGAGTATATATGTTCACTTGTGTACTGATATTTTAATGCAGGGGTCAATGAAATCTCATAATTGTGCGGTCAATCGCACACTGACCAAGCAGAAAGAGCAACATTTTTAAACCATTATGATTTAGCGAACACGTAAAAAGTACGGCTAACTGCTCGTGGACGCAAATAGAAAAATCCGTCGTAGGTGCATAAAAATACTTCAACAAAACTGTTGTTTAACGATGTCGAGGTAGGTAATAAACGAAGAAGTAAAATACGCCGTGAAATGTTTGTATTTATTTTATAAATAATTTTTTATTAATTGCTACCGCCCCCGACGAACATATTAATTAGTCGCCATACTTTAACTATCGTGCGCAACTTAAGAGGTTTTATTATTGTTGTTCAGGTGAACAGTATGACCGCGTTGCCGTCTTCGATCGCGTACGCACACAAAGCGGTACGAGCGGTGGCGGCGCGGCTTTGGCGCAAAATGTTCAACATAAATGCTACAAAATACTTTAATTACGTTAGTGTTTAGTTTTTTTTTTTTTTTTTTATTTATTTTTTATTTTAATTTGCTCGCCAGATGCCGTCTTATTATTTCAGTTCTCGAGGTTTCTATAATTGCTTTTCTACTTATATTGCGCCCGCGTTCGTTTTTGTATATACGTATATTTTATACTCTTGTCCAATTCAATGGGGAAATCCTTCAGATAAAGCCGTTTCATTAAGTCGCGGTGTCGTATTTTTCGTCCAGCAAACTTACTGTCGTCAGATTTTAACGTGGAATTGTATTCTCCGTCATCTGCGTCACCCCGAATAGTATAAAATACGCATTTAATTCAAGAGCAATATTATATTCATATAAATGCATACACACCATAAACGTTACGAAACTTGGAACGAAGCTAGGACAAACTCCAGTCCTCAAAAACAAAAAAAAAAAAACGATTAAAATTACAATTTTTTTTTTTTTTTTGTTTTAAAAGTTTTTAGTCTTGAAAACTACGTATCATACTCAAAATAATGTTGTTTAAAATATTACATTATGTTACAATGTTCATGATACTATTACATAATATTATTCTTTTCATTGAAAATTTTTTCTATTATGCATTTTTTCATCAGATATAATGTTTTAATACATTTTGGACAAAATTAACAATTGGCCTGATTTTTCAGTGTTATATTTGACAGTTATTAAAACAAAATATTTATTTTTAACTCGTTTATTACAGCAAAAGTTTATCGAGATGGAAGTATTTGCAATGCATTAGAAAATAAAAATAAAAATAAATGTTAATTGAATATATTGAAATTGCTATATTTAGAAAAAAACAACTATAATTTGGAGCAGAAAATATAAAATCAATCCATAGTAAATAAATGATTATTATTTTACTATTATTTCAAAAAAAAAAAAAACATATGAACCATTTTTTCAAACCGGTAGAACATATAACATATATTATATTCAATAGATTTTCGGATGCAATTAATATAATATTATATCGTAGTATGATAATAATATTCATTTAGTAATAATAACTATTATTCGTGTTAAATTTTGAGTTAGTTCTTTCAGCTTAATTATTTGTGAGCACGAAAATCGATTAAATAGTATAGGAAAGATTTCGAGTTATAATATTTATAAAAAATGATAATAGTATATATATAATTATGTAACGCATTTGAACGTACTGATTGCCAATTGAACCTTTTAAAATTATTTAAAATATTATTCTACGTTGTAATGTTTTGTTTGTATCAACGAACCATAATGCTAATAATAATATATTATATGTATAACGTACGTATTATTTTTTAGTAATGTCAAACTCGTATTTCAGCGTCTGAATCAGAATAAATTCTAGTTGAAATTGATATTGCAAATTTCGATTAAGCTGAATTAGGGTTTATTTACATGGAGAAAGAATAGGGGAAATATTAAAATTGTAGCGATGTTAGGTGACGTTCTCGTCTTATTAAATTTGAAACGGAAAAGTAGATTTGGCAATAAGCGCTGTTGAAGTTAAAGCGTTAACTGTATTTGTACGTGTACACGCACAAACATCGTTAAAAAGTAAATAAATTGTTATTGAATTAATTTACAGCAGTCAATGTAAGGTAAAAAATGTTTTTAATTAAAAATAACAATTAAAACGTGGTTTAATATTTATTAAAATGTCTTATATAATATTTGTGGTAAACATAATGGAAAGAGAGATGAGTGTTTGTGCGAACGAAACGGAATATTATTGTATTTTTTGTAATGAAAAATGTCCATTGTTGGGAGGGGTGGGAGGAAATAATACGTTACATTTTTTTCTTTTTGTTGATTAAATTCGAAACGAATAATGTTTCCAGTTTAATTTTAGTATTCCTATTTTATGTTACTTTATTAAACGCAACAACGATGCAGGATGTAATATTGACTGAACGTGTATTAATTTATTTCCAAATGTATATTATGAACCCCTCTACTCATAATACAACCATCAGTAGCGTATTTATGGAGAGGATGAATATAATTCCATTTAAGCTTTTTATTATTTTTCTATAAGTATTTTTCAATTATTATACTACACATTTGTTTTTTATGGATGTTTAAAATTCTTAAAAGTACAATAGAAGTGAATATATCATCTTTTTTATATATTTCGATTGAAATAAGTTGTAAATAAAAACATGATACTACATTTTGTTATTAAAATATCTTTATTTATTAAGAGATAAAGACAATTATTAAATTTTATTATTATTTAATTTAGATAATTATTAAAAAGATTATTATTATTTTTCTAAAAAAAGTGTATTTAATACAGACGATTTTCCTTCCGTCTTCTTTCTAAATTAAGGTCTAGGAACGTCTCTGCGTCGTAGTATATACATAGTGAAGAAAATATATACCATCAAAGAAATACCATACGAATAGTGTGTATTATGCGTCTCGTCTTTGGATAATATATGTAGGTAAAATAAACATAATAAATCGTAAACGTTCGGGAATTATTATTTTTGTATTCGTATATTATTATCATAATAATAGACGCGGCGCGGTGCAGCTAGACTCGATTGTATCATATCAATGGAGAACGAGAAAAATTCGAAGAGAATATAACGCGCATATTAGGTAGTATAGCAGTTCGAGTTTTACTGTCCGTTCCGGGACGTAATATCGAAAAATCTTTGTGTTGTACTGTAATCTCAGACTGTAGGTAATGTTATCTCGACGGCCATCCGAAACTTATCTCCGTTATCTCGCGATTACCACTTGAACGAGAATTTCGTCATCAGTAAAAGAAAGGTCATTTTAGTAAAAAAAAAAAAAACGAATTGAGCTTGTACCCGGTAACGTCTGTGTTTCCCCACGATCATCGGAAAATAATTTGTCGTGTCGTATTTAAACATTATAATTACAGAAAAAAAAGAACTATTTAAAATCTATTAAGACGTTTGGAATTTGTGTAAAATAAAAAACAGTCCCGCATTGAATTGCAGCTTAATTCTGTGGACGTCGACCGTGGAAAATCGTAATGTTATGAAGTGACTCAACATCAGTAGGCAATAATATTTGATGCAGACGGCAAGGAGGATTAATGAAAAATCGATAGTTTCTCTATTTTTTTTGCCCATTGAAATCATAACGATGATATTATAAATAAAGCAATGACTCGAGGTACGCGCAGCACGTTTATTTTCTTTTCGAGGCGTTCCGCTTCCGGATGAGATGACGATAAAATGATGGTAAAAAAAAAAAATATAAATAATTAAACGCATTTTTTACGCGTACCCAACGGACGAGACGTTTAATTTACATTGTTGTGTATAATAATATCTAGTCTAGTTAATTAGTGTTCACCCCCCGAGAAATGTTCGTCGATTCGCACAGCGGATCCAAATTATACGTTCACCGCGGACTTTGTGCTATTACTTCTGGTCGTAACAGTGGTGGTGGCGACTGTTGAGGCGGCATCAGAAGCAGCAGTGGCGGCGGTGGCGTTTTCTTTCCACGGTTCGAGAGACATTTTTATTAAACTGTCGCAGCCAACCCTGTCGTTACCGACTTTACGAGAGCTGCGCATCACGTGCAACTGAACGGATTCAATTTCGTCAGAATTGTCGCAAATTATCGCCGCAAACGTGGTTTTTCGGATCTCTGACAGTTGATCTGTTCACACACGAACAACACACGCGTTCACACGCACATACACTCGAAGAACATATGATATGTATTGGAGGGGTCGAAAACAAATACACTATTATGCAATGGAACGGAAGTGCGTCGTTTAGTTTACGTTGTGGAATTATAGGAAGTATAGACGCACTAGGAGGGATGAGATGGGACGGGGAGGTAGTAAGGACGGCAGAGCGTAGAAGGGTCTGCGGAAGGAGATTCGAAACCGGTAAGGAGGGGAAGGACGTATGGTTTATTCGGACGGATTGGGTGCAAAACCGTGTGTCCTTACCCTCGTCGAAAGCTTGAGGTTTCTCGCCGGTCTCGTACCAATAACGGTCGCCCAATTTGGTCCGTAGAAATTGATCAGCTAACAGGCACGTGATTGTCGGCCCTAAAATGCTTCCGTCCAACGGTCTCTCCGACAGCAGTCCGGTGTACAGGTCCAAGTCGTCGACCGATCTGCGACGCATATAAAACATACTATATATTATCGGCATCGGTCGTACGGGTACAATTACATGATATTATTATGTTATTGTAGTACGGACCCATACGGGTGGTTATAAATATTCAAAACCAATTACGACGTAGGCACGTAATATGATAATGTTATGTTAACTGCCGTTGTAGTGTTACGGCGCGTAAATTAACGATTTGGCCGCGATTATGTGGATAAATATTCACAGTTCCTTAGAGTTTGAAGAACAGCAATTCAATTGTATTAAAATTGTTTATTTGTCTGCTGTTTCATTAGTAATTCTATGTGATGTAGAAGTTAAATAGAAGTAGGGATTCACACGTTTATGTTCATCGTTTACCCGTCATGATTTTGGTGTATTATGAATTTATTAAACATTAATTTCTTCTATTATCAGAATAAAGATAACAATTAAGAATCATAAGGCAAGTGTTTAATGTTGTCTGTAATTTGTTGACTTTTGCTTTTTTGCGCGTTAATTCGAATTATATGACGCTGAACCAGATTTAAAAAAATCATCCCTTCCTGCTACGTAAGTTACTGTCAGATTTCTCTAACTCCCCCCTCCCCTGTCTGCCTGACGTAATACTTGAATGCTCCCATCAGTGAAATTATTCATGAATCACGGTTTCGCAGTTCGCATTTGTGATCGCGTACATTGCCCCCTAACGCGTCTTTCGGAATTAACATTTAATGAATTCCATTTTATCCCTATCTAGGTTACATGTCGAGTATATTAATGCGACGTCCGTCGTGTTTAGAGGAGTTTGAACTTCAGATATATTTCAATCGAAAACTTTACATGTGCAACACTGAATGGATGGAGTACATATACATAATTAATATTATAATTATAGCACTCACACGTGCGCACATATTTATATATATATTTTATGTATATACGTAGTTATAACTACTTTATGGTCCGGCGGTTGTGGATGCCAGGAGTTTGAAATTTCGGATGCTGCATGGTGAACGAATATCGATGATATTTGAAAACATATAATGTTTTTCCCGGTAAGACTGTATGTACGCGCTTATACATACCGTACATACACACATTCGTGCATTGAATATATTAAATGTAATTAAAGACTTCGATGTCGGGCTTAGCCTGGACGAGGTTCTCACCAACGAGAAGATAATAAAATACATATGTACCGAAATCCACCTAGATGTCTATTCACCTATAATATACATCTACCTAGAATCGAAGTATTATTATACTCATATTAAGTACCCGCATCCACTCAGCATGCACTCTGATCCGGGGCTATATAGTCCATGAATATTATATTAGATACTTTTGTCGATGAGTTTATATAGTATAGCAAAAGAAATGAAAATCAGTCATATGTATTCTTTACACATGTACATAAAAGGTGCAAAAAAGGATCGAGTCTCTCGAATATTTTGTGCTCGGGAATCAGTGTACTCTGTATTAAGGAAGGAATATTTTTTTCTTGTTGATGTGTAATAATACTTTTTTTCTGTTTAAATACGAAGAGGAATCCAAAATAATATTGTACATCGGTTTCAAGTTTAAAAGACCAATACAGCAATACCATTCATCCATCTCAGTATTTCACTGAACCGTGGAGCCTTACTTAACCTAGAGGAATCTCGTCTTTTTTAAGCTTTGAATATATTATTGAAGTATAACAGTGTAAATTACTTGTATAATTGCGTTATCCTCTGTAGTGTTACGGGTTCGAAAATTCCATTTAAATCGTCAAAACTTTGTGGACGAGGAAATCCGCACAATCGACGCCATTGCGGATATCCTGGCAACCCGTGATCTCGTCCTCTTTGGATGTTTAATGCTACTAAATCCAATCCACATTGTCTCTTTGTGTGTTTGTTTCCATGATTTTTCTCGAACAGATGTCTTGTTATCTACGTTTACGAAACAGTGAGAAAACATCATTGTTAAATTGATAAAATCATACGAGTTCAAAAATAAAATAAAAACTACAACATTTCTGTTAGGTTTCAATATTGAGTATTCATATTTTAGATCAATATTAAAACAAAAAAGGGAAAACAATATAATATAAGTCGTAAAATCATAACGTTAAAATTCACGTTAGTTTCACGATTTGAAATTCATTATTGGATAGTAAAACAGAGCCTTAAGTGATACGTTGGGGCATAAGGGAATTTCCATACTTTTCACTGCGTTTAAATCGCCTACTCTTTAAAACTTCCCGAAAAAGTTTGTTAAAACACTCAACTGTTAAGTCAAAGTAATCGCCCACATTAACAATTAGGTATTATTAGTAATAAAAACGCGTTTTTAAAAACAATTTGTATTATTTTATAATTATCAATTTTAAAGTCTAGACGGTGATTGACCATAGGTGACAGTTCCGAGTAACAGTAACTTGTAAATGTTAACCATCTCGTATCAAATATTAATTGTTATACGTTGAATAATATATATTGTATATGAATACAACTATATTTGTTGGATTGGTATATGGAACGATGAAAATGTTTTAGGGATTCTGCGATTTCGTGTCACATGCAGCCCCCGAGCGAAGCGATGAATATTTGCTATTATTGTTTTTTCCTTTGGTTCCGCAAATTAACGCGATTAACATCGCAGCGGAATGACGTCACACGCGATCCTATATTATCTTGTTGGATTTTATTTTTATTTTTGACACAACATTTGAGCACGAGCGAAATATAATCGTCTAGAGTTTTTTTCTTCTGCCATTATGTATTTGTACGCGGGTCTTACTTCGGGAGTGAAAAACGCGTCCGATTTCCCGGCACTTGTGTTCATGGCTCCCCGGATGACGCTGTCCACGCCGCCGCAACTGTACAATTTGTACGGGTTGAATAGCATCTTTCTCATTTCTACGTACTCCGGATTGCTGTCGTCGTCACGCAGGAATTTCATCATGCTCTGCGAAAACAATAACCGTGAAAATCGTGATAATAAAGACAATAACATAATAAATCCGTTTCACCGAGAATATTGTTGATGTCTCGCGTTTCAATGATATTTCATAAGATTAAAAAATCGTGACTTGTAATATCTAATTGTCACTAACGCATTCAAAATATATAAATGGTAAAGGTCATGTTTTTGTCTCTGGACCTGGAAACAGACTCTTCAAAATACTCACTGAAGCCACTAGAACCTAGTATATTTTACGGTAGAAGTCATTGCTACCATTGAAGCAATTATTTACGTAGAATTCATCCCTACGAAAAAAGTATCATATGTAAATCATTCAACACTCTAACTTCTCAACTATCAGCTATTCCAAAAAATTAAATTTCTCAACAAATACTCAATATTACAGCCAACCCAAAAAGGCTGCATCACGATCGCGCAATTTTTCCTTTTTTGACCCGACTAATTACACCACGATTGCGCAAACAATTTGTAACACGATTGCGCCCCGATCCCTATTTACCTGATAAAATCACAACACCATTGCGCACCAAATAATAATATGTGTTTATACTATGTATAATATATAAAATAATGTATACGATACATACTTTCTACATATAATTTATATATACATGCGCTCAAACTTATTACCTATTAATTTACAATTTTTCTTCCTAATTATTACAGGCTTAGTACTGTCAACAAATTATCATCGTTGGCTTGATTAAAAATTGTTTCCTTTCTAAATTAAATGTATGCTAAATGTATAAACTGACATGGTCAACAGTCGAAATATTTTTTATTAAAAATTGTTTTTTTTTTTTTAACTGTTAGTCATTAGTCGATATTATTATTTCAACTATCATTAGCTCAATCAAATTTTCATTTCGATTTAAAAAAGTGTGTTTTGTGAATTAATAGTTTTAGTGCATGTATACGCAAATGATAGAAAGTATGTATTGTATACATTATTTTATGTTTTACATAAATTATTATACATAGTATATACACATAATTTGGTGCGCAATCGTGTTCCAAATTTTTTCGCAATCGTGATGCACCGACCCAAAAATACCATCGAGTTCTTCACACACCGTATTGGTATTGTTGGCAAGGAAGAGGCCGATCTATTAAGAAACCAATTTTTATCAAACCTTGAATCAATTGAAATAAAGACATACACCACACAAAGGTATATTAAGAAAAATCAACCAAACCCCCATCCAGAAATGGCAATCTTAACGGAACAGCGTAACGAATAACAAATCAAAAAATATAAAAGAAAGATCGTCCGAAAATAGCGATCCCTCATCAATATAACTTAACCTAACCACTTCCATCACGACGTTATTTTTACAACATCATTACAATTATAAACCTATCATAATTATCAATTAAATGTTAATATATCGAATATATTATTAAATTAAATCTGCGTGAAATGTTAGGCTAACGACCTTAGACTGTCGAATGCCCTTTTCTCAATAAGAAAAAAATCTTGTTGCTCTTATTAGAGTACTGTATACGTACATCGCAGTCGTTATCGTCGGCAAATCATATAAATATATTATACGCACACACACATAATAAGTACACGGTTTTACGGCTATCGTAATAATTATTATTACACGTACAGTACATACGCGTGTATTCGTATAACGTTGTTTCGCGGGTACGCTCCGGGGAGTTTTATTCGCACGTGCACACGTTTGATGGTGTAATAATAATATAATGTGTATCACTACGGTTTTTAGAAGCGGATGCGAGAAAAAATTACTCCGACCGGGACGCGTCGCGGGCACGATTACGCGACATAATAATAACAATAATAATCATAATTTATGTGCGCGCTAAATTTGCATGCACGAACATGCGGTGCGATCCATTTGACTGGCTGCATTCAATTTTTTCGGTAAACGCAAGGTGTTCTTGATAGAATAAAATCAAAAATAAAAATAAAAACACTCTTGTTGATCCAGGACGATTTTTGTGTAACATGCTGAATAGTGCTAAGATCGCTACTAATCAGTCGTTTAATAACTGTGAACGTACGTTCTCTCGAATTTTTTAAATTTATTTCGGTTTTTTTTATTAAGTAACTTATTTTGAAGTGAAATCTTTTTTTTAGACATTTCGATTCATAAAAACATCGTTCAGTTAGAATTTTAACTTTTAAAATACTGGCTTAATCAATATTTTCAACAAACTGACTTGTAATATTCCATTTTTTTGTTTTCCTAACTTAAAAAAAAAAAAGTATCTCATGGATCAAACCGGTATGAATGACCGAATTTATTGCCGTCATTTCAAATTTTTTTCAGCTGAATCTCACCGAGCTTGTCATGAGCCACAACTACATCTTCGGAGAAATGGTTTTTTACAATTTTCTTTCTAATAGTATCTTAGGTTATCCTGATTTTTTTTTATAGACCCGAAACACTGACTTTTGTCCAGGATCTGGTAAACACTCTGTCCGAACGGTGCTTGAGGCTTAAAGCTCCACTTGGCCGTTCCATCATTTTAATACCGAATAAGAGTGTTTGCCGTCCTGTAAACTGCACTAAATAATTTGTTATATATCTTAAAACACAATAATACAACCGTCAAAAAATAAAATCGCTGGTATCTTGTATAAAATATGAGAATCGTGAAAACAATAAATATGAATAAATCATCGATTTTTATCACTGAAACATATTGAATCATTACAATACAGTTATTATTTTACAATCGAGTGACTGCATGGGTCAATTATTACATTTTTTATACGCGATTGGAATATTAAAAACCATAATATGATTTTAGCAAAATGGATTCCATCTGGCGGAATGTAATCGGATGAAGAAAATGAAAAAATAAATTTAATAAGTATATATATATATATAATATATCAATACATTTTATTATTTTTGCTTGGCTCGAATAAAGAAACCTTTTAAAAACGATACTGTCAATCGTCTAGTACACGTCCGTTAGCGATTACCACCGGGTAGTTTTGACGAAAAATTAATAATAATGATGGATAGCAATATTTGTATACGAAAAGTACAATTGATAACATATTATTAAATAGTGAGATGTGTAATACAAATCGGAGTGTAATGCGAAAACTTGGTATCGTACGCGATGCGAGGAACCCTTCATTGAACTTCTTCGCGAGATAAGTTATTAAACGATATATGGACCGTATAGTTTGGGATAAAGGATACTATTAGTAAACTAACAACAGCTATATTATTTAGTTGGACCATATTTCTTATTGCGTAAAATGACGACGGGTAAATTAAATGAGTACACAAATATAGGCTTTCAGTTCGAATACAGTGACCAGTAATATTATTTTCTAAGACCGTATACGATATACATAATGTATAATCGGTTTGTAATCAGACGGGAAGTATAATTGGGTCTGAAATCTCGACGGGGGTTAGGGTTATAAAAAGTCACCATCTCATGTTTTTGGTTTCGGGTACAATGAAACCTTTGTTTTCGGCTTATACGTATATGGACGACGCGTGTAAGGCTCGGCTTACTTTTTAAATGGATTGCGCTGCAAACGAGCGACGAAATTATAGTGAAAATACCCTTTTTTAGGTTCTGAGCCAAGCGATTAACGAATTAGTTTTACGATGAGGATTTTCATCATAGATCCTGTTAGTAAATCTACATGAAAAGTTTCTCGCACTACCTTATCAGACCGGAAACGGGCATTTTAAATATCTCGTTTTTCCATTATCTCGTGCCGTTTTCGTCAGCTTAACACGTTAACCGCCGTAATTATATTGATTACTGTATGCGCGATCGCTGAATTTCAACGTTCGTGTGTTATTAATTATTAGTGCATCGATATTGGTTGCTCCAAGGGCGTATTTGAGTTATGGCTATAGGGGGGAGGGGGAAAGGACGAAACTAATTTTTCTTCAATACAAACTTGAAAATAATTTACAGTTCATTACCTACAGCTAATGTTTCTGTTATAATGACATATTGTACTGATAGACTAGTAATTTATATTCTTAATTATTTGTACATTAATTGTTTTGAATAAATCAATGTATTATATTAAAAAAAAGAAATAAATAAAAATATGAGCCACGGGGGGGGGGCGAATGCCCCCTTTGCCCCTCCCCCCTCAAACACGCCCTTGGGCTGCTCAGAATCGTTTGTCTATATGCCACGGACATTCATCACTCTTTCGAACGCTCGTAAGTATACGGATAACGACAACCATCAAGAATTAGGACGAACCAGTGAACAGGTAGGTACTGCGTATTCAAGTACGACGAAATATCGCCTCTGAAAATGTTCGAGTTCGCCACGCCACTGCGCGTGCGTACACGGTACACTGATATGTTTGTGCACGCGCGAACCAACGTTTACGGTACGGGAGGTGAGCGCGCGAGTGCTCGACGTGTTTTATTTCGCTCCGGGCCGTGCACTCCGTTATTCGGTAATCGTCGTCGGCTTATACGTGTTGTGCGTATCGAAACGTCTGGTCCCTGGCGGATCGATATCCCCCAGAACGTTTCTCCAACGGTTACGGCCGCGGTACCTGTGCACCTGTTTTATCGTGCACGTTTCCACGCCGGGATCGTCATTCGCTCGGGCTCGCCGTAAACGGGCCAATACCTGCACTGTTATCGTTACTACTGTTATTTTTGTCGATATTATCACCGTTTGTTGCCGTCATCGGTGTCGGTATCCGCGCGGACGGATCGCAAGTCCGTCCGAATTACGAATGATTCAGTACGGCCAATATCAAATTTTAACAGTACCTACCCACCTACGGATCGGTGTGAACGGTGGTGAGGGGGCTGAAACCCTACCATAATATTATCCACCACTTAATTCGCTGTGGCAGTCGCCGTACTTGGGTACAGGGATCGGTGCCATTGCGAACTAAGGACGCATAGGCCGCACTAAGATCAATGATATTTACGTAATACGTATGCGTGTATATATTTTTTTTTTTTTTTTTACCGGGGATCGAAATACCATGACTTAATAATATTTTATTTATAACATTTATTTAATGAACCATATTTTCACTGGTTTTCAAAGATTCTTTTAACCGACAACCATCGCGTTCCCGGACGGATAACGACCCATATACGAGTGAGGCGCTTAAAGCCGACGTGGCAAACGTGTTAAAGGGTACCACTCCTGTGCACGGTGACGATTGCCAAACATCGAAGAACCCGCCGGAAACGCGTTTTCATTCGCCGTGCGTGCGTGTTGGCTGACGCGGTCGGGTGACGATCAAAACGGGCGTAGGTGAATTGAGTCCCAAACGAATTTATCTTTTTTTCGAAAGAGGTAAACTGAGTCCCTCGTATAACAGTTAGAGTTAGAGTCCCGTCTAAAATATTTAATGTATTCAATTCATTTAAATGTATTTAAATTATAAATATAATCGTTGATATAGTTATAAATTCACCGAGTACGATAGGTAAGTGTATATTATCGTTACATCATTGAATATTATTATATTTCGCTCCGTATTATTACGTAACATTTATATAAGTACCTAACTATCTACAAGAACGCTGGATGTGATATGTGATAACTGATAAGTGTATGTTTAATGTACGTGGTATACAATTGTGTTAATATAATTAAAAGTGTGTTAAATAAAAAAAAAACAGCATTTTAGCATATTTCAAATTACCGCTTTAATTTGTATACAAGGGACTCAATTTACCGATTTCATTTTTATACGAGGGGGACTCAATTTACTTTTTTTTTTTTTTTTTTTTCAAGCGGTACTCGGTTTACCTAAAATCAATAAAATGGGACTCAATTTACCAAACCCGATCAAAACGCGCCCACCACACGGTGTTTTCTCGCAGTGGTTGTTGCAGCCGGTAGCGTTTAAAACGTACGCACGTGAACAGGCGCTTTCATAGTTATTGAATAATCTATTGATCACTACGATTTCGTGTCATTTTTTCTAATGTTTACGTTACATGTTCGTTTCGTCACCGCGCGTGACTGTTTAACGCGCTAACGTTGCGGGCCGTCGGACGCGTTTCGCCAGCAGCGGTGGTCCGTAACTGCGAAACTCCAAGCTCATATTATTCGTTCCAGACATAACGACCCGTACACGCGCCGCCTAACTACAATGATTCGTTATTGCGTTTTAACGGACTGCGATGGTTAAATGCGTACCGGTATGAGGGTATGTGCGAAACGGAACGCCGCGGTGGCAAAATTGTTGTTGATCGACGGGTCCACGGAAGAGTTGTACCCGTTCCAGTAACCCGTTTTTTGAGGGTACAAGTTCAAATGGTCCATTAGATTGTCACCTGAAACGATAAAAAATGCAATCAAACGTTACCGAGCTCTTCGGTTATTTTATTAGTTCGTTAATCGCTATAACTATAAGCCTAAAAAAAAAAATATAAGTTAAGGTTATAACCGACTAAATGTTTCAATTGGTTGTTTTTTTAAATAGATATAATGTGCATATTTCTAATTTAAATGCATAACTGTTTAGAATCCATGCCGCTTTGTATTTCATACTATGTATTATAGACTGACTTGTTAATCAGTGCAGATAGTGCAAAGTTTTAACTATTTTTTTTTTTTTTTTTTTGTATAGCTGTAACTTTAAAAAGAAGTATCTAACATTTTATCTTTACTTGACGTAGGTTATCCAATTACATAAGTTGTTTATGTACAATAAGCATAGAAACTTTAAAATAAACGAGCCATGTTGCTTTTCAAAATACTTTTCATAGCCTAGATAGATATGCCTCGTGCTATACAATATAAACTATCAGCTAGTCCAACAAATTTAATTTCTCAACAAATACTCAATATGACAGCCAAACCAAAAATACTATCGAGTCTGTGTGGAGTTCTTCACACACCGTATTGGTATTACCGTTAAGAAAAAGGCCGATCTATTAAGAAACCAATCTTTATAAACTAACCTTAAAGACTGAAAATTTAATTTACTTAGGTGTTTTTTTCAAATCGGAATACCACTAGGTATAATGAACATGTCAAATAAAGTTTTAAACGAATATTTAGTTATAACTTGAAATGTAAACTTGATATTATGCACGTAAATGGTAAATATGTTTAAAACACTGACATGAAACTTAAAAATGTAGAATATTTTTAAATCAAATATTATTGTTTAAAAGAAGTCTATTTTTATTATATGTGTGTCAATTTTAAATCATTCAAATTCTCAAATAAAACAATCATTGTACAAGTTATTTGGTTTTTTTTTTTTTGTTTATGGCTTTTTAGACTATATATCCAAACATAATTGCGTCAATCTCTTTTAAAAGGCAATATTACTCTGATACCACGACGTTTGTACAAACGTTTTAATTCAAATAAGTTTTTTCTGTGAAAATTGTGAGCAATAGTTTCTTCATTGCCATTTTGATGTTATTTAAAATGTTTTTTTTTTTTTGTATCATATTTGTTTCATCTAGTTTTCAACTGTACCACGTATTTATTTTAGGCATGAAACACTTTACGATTATAAAAGTACTATTTTTGAGAGATATAATATAAAACTCATAGGCATTATAACTATCCAGAAGAAAGGGTTATTATTAAATTCATACATTTTTTGTGATCGCAAAAATACTTAAGAAAATATCTGTCGATAAAATTTTATATGTTATAAAATGTTTAAAATGTTATGATTTTCTTTATAGTAATTATATAGTAAAAAAGAAAACAATTACTCTAAAAACGCTATCGACCTAACTTGAGCCAATGAATAATAAAATGACATTACACTGAATTAGATTGTCGAAAAGGAAATGAGACATTGAGGCAGGACGTGCACTGCTGACTACTTAAATATTCCTTAGACTACGTAATGACTCCAAACCTACCTAGCAATATTGGTAGAAATTCGTTGTACGTGATGTGTTGGATCTGAGCAGTGACGATGTGTCTGGTTTCTTGAAAAACCTGCTCGTCCTCCCAGTGCGGGTTCAGCGACGACAATTTGTCCGCGATCATGTTGTGTTGACGGATCATGATCAAGTGGAGCGTCGTTAAGTGCATGTTTTCATTCGCTCTGGCGTCGCCTAATTTTAATATAATATAAGATATTTATTTTTGACACGATTAATATTAATGAACACTTGGTTGTGGGTAAGACTATGCAGAACGCCCAATGAGGATTTATTAATATTCATTGAAGGGGATTGGGGCTATGATACAAATTCTATCAACTAGCGTTTTTGGCAACACGAATGAATTTTCGCGTGAGAAACTATACCCTCTCATACTTTTTTCACCCTCCTTTACTTCTTCTTCCTTTCAGTCCCTTCATCTTAGTCTTTGTTTATTTTTCGCGTGCATACGTTACTAATGTAGTTTTATCAGATTCATATGTAATAAAAAGAGTCTATGAGTTATACTTATTTCGGTTAGTATTTAACATTGTAACAGAGTGTCTAAGATGTTTTTATAGTTTTATGAACACGTTAAACTGGCAGTTTGAGCTGAATCGTGTATGATAATCAAGAATTTGCAGATAACTGATACTTTTGGAAGTTCCACATCTGGTATCGTTGCAAAGGTTCTTCGAACGAATATGAATATTGAATGCAATATTTTGCACTCACGTCAGCTTGACCTACTTTTAAGTTTTAAATCGGTACGTCGAGCCACAAGGAAAAATTGCAGTTGTGAACTATATAGATCCCATTGTTCCATTATTACTGCGCTAATTGTAGTTTGCAGGGAACGCGGCTTGTGGGCTGGGCATTTCGGATGCGCAGGGACTCACCTGATAGGAAACAATAACGGCCCTTTTCCATTTCTGATTTCTCATTGCACCCATCTCTAGGGTCTTTGTTCGGCGGCAAAAGCTGTTCACCATGTTCCGATATGAATACCTTCATGCGTCCGCCCGTCCAGGATCTTAGGTCGTTTTGAAGCGTCTGCGTGTTTCCGTAAACGGTGGAACCGTCCAAATATGAGCTCGCTTGGTTCAGTTGTTCCCTGGGACCTATGTGAAACGACGTGCAATGATGATCAATGAATGTTATGCGATTAACGAACTGTTATTATAAAAATATGTGGACGCAATGCGCTAACACGACAATCGTGCGGATCCAGAGTTCACTAAAGATTGGTGGGAGCAAGGATCTTAAAGTTATTTACTACTAAACCGTGGGCGAAAAATTATTGAAAAAAAAAAAAAAAATAATAAAAACCCAGTTGTAAAAGTAACCAAAATATATATTTTTAAATTCATGGCCAAAATTATATTATGTTATCATAGGTCGTACACAAGTTGTTGAAGTTTGTAGTTTATAGTACATCATTTTCGTTGTGAATTTTTACTGGAGCTGCTCGAAAGTTATTGCATTAAACAATCGTAAAACGTGCATCCGAAATATACTATATTATTCACTCGAATAAACATTCGAAAATACATTATGTGATAGTGCTCGAATATCATCCCAAGTTTATGTCACACAGACAAGGTTCGACTTACAATTTTCAAGTGTTCGGTGCATGAAAGTAATTTTCCAAGAGTATTCTAAACGCGTTTGTGTTGTGACGGTATGAAAATATTTCTCGAAAAAAATAAAAATCCTGAACTCGGTCAAAAGTATATACAAGTAGTACAAAAAAGTAAATATAAGTTTATACGTATGTGTAGTTGGTTCCATGTCCAAATCACCCGAATGTGTCATTCCGATAGCAAGTTATCTCTGAAGAGTGTCCGCTCACGAGAACTTCGAACTTGGGCGCCTATTTAATGTGTCTTACGTTCGATATCCGTACAGGAAAAATTTTCCTCGGCAAACTTCAACTGTAATTATTTCAGTATGTACGGGAAATGTTCGTACGGTGCACAAAATATACCACATTATACCCAGGGTCTGGGATTACGCACGAATAACAGGGTACAAATCGGTTATAAATATAGAACAATATTAACTTTGTTTTAGCTTTAACGACACTCCTCGTACCTACTTAGCTTTTGGTACGCAAGTAATGAATAAACGTAACAAATCATATATTGTACTCCAATCTAATGACGAGTACCGATCCATGTGTTCATAGATTATTTCAGAGGTGATCTTAGAGAAGTTTGTAATATTCTTCCAACGAGGAAAGATCCCCCTCCCATATTCAGTCCCTAAAAAATGGGTGATATTAAAATGTTGACTACATGTGAACATACGATGTTAAATGAGTTTTTGTATGATATTTTTGTGCGATCGCTAAACCTAACCGGATAGAATGCTTAACGTGTATACCAGTTTCAACGGTTACAACGGATCGTCTTTTCAATAGACTATAAATAAGATAACGGATATAATGAGAACGGGACCAGAAATATTGCAACCTTGCACGGAACTTAATATAGAAGGAGACGTTCAGAATTCGATGAAAATACTGTGATAGAATAAATTGATTTATATACACGTCAACAGTAAATTTTATTTTATTTTTATAACTATACTTAAATGTATTAAGTGTTTCACTATAACTACCATTTAATAATCATTATTTTTATAAGACAAAGAACTTACAAAGAAATTAGTTTTTTAACAGTAATCTGCAAGTATATACCTTTTTTAAATTGTCGATACCCTATCACCCCTTCCAGGGATATTAGGATTAAAATAAATGTTGGGTGCGTTGAAACGGTTTATACCGAAAACCTTACCGAAACCGCAAGTGGACGCGGGCGAAGAGCGCACGAACTCCATGCACTTGCCGTCGCACTTGCCGCCACTTCCGTTTGCGATCACCGGAAAACATTCGGGGTGCGTGACGTTACCGGCAGAGTTACCGCAGCACGAAATCGAGCTCCCGTTGTGCCCTGAAAAAATTCAGAGTTGTCTGTTACTAGGAAAAATAGAAAATGAAATTGATGAATTTCTATTCTTCATGTTTTTAGTATCGTCACGTACAGAGCGATTGTTTTGGTAAAAATGTAAACATGCATATATGTATACATTTAAATCATTAACCGTTGTGACGCTTATAATAATTAATCTTTTAAAAAAAATATTTATACCTATTTTATTGATAACTATTCCGTTATAGATTAATCTATCCATAAATAATCGTATGTTTATAGGTATATTATAAAAAAATAAAAATAAATAAATAAATAAATAAAAAAGAAGAAAACACGTTAATATTTATTTGACGTGAATAATAAATATTATTATTTTGTTTTATATCTGAGCATCTCTAGGGTATACAAAGTATAACCTACTTTACGTCAGTATAAAAAATGTCTGTTTTTTTTTTTTTTTACAAGTGGAATTACAATTTGACTGCCCTACGTCTAAAATTATGACTGTTCTCTAGTGAATTCAGAAAGTTTGACTCTTTAGAATGTAAAAAGTCGTGTGAAGTCAAAATAATTTATTTTCTCCCAACAACACGCAGTAAATGTTTTTTAAAAGTGTTTTAAACTTTGATTAAAATGATATGCAAAAATACATGAATAAAAGTTTAGTTTTAGCGGAAAACTAATATGATGCTTTTACTCCATCCGTACAGTATTTCGAAAGTCGTATAATGCTATATTATTTAGTACGGTTTTGTTTTTATCGAATCAAACTTATTTACGAATGTAAGTTTAAAATTCAGTGTTAAAATTTTAATAAGTGTAATATATATTTTTTCCATTTATTAAAACACTAAAGAAATATACTAAAGAAACCTATAATTACATTACAATTCGATCAAACTTTGTTATTCAAACATTACTATTACATCGTAAACTATCAGATATATATTTTAAATTAATGCATCTTTCTCTTATTTCTATACCTTATAATGTTCCTTCTTGCAGCAGCTGTTCGATCTATTTTTTTACATTCCACCATATAGCATATACTATTTCACTTATTTTTCCAAAAGCATTGTCTCATTGTAACAAGAACACTATCAATTTGAACAATTGCATTTTTTTCTCACCTTTCTCTAAAATTGTAATTTCATATTTTGTATTTTAAATGTTTTATGTAGTATAAGTTATGATTGATTTGTACCACTGGACTTCACATAGATTTGAACGATGAAATATTACTGTACGTCGATAAACTTATTAAAAACTCTAAATCAGAAGTAGCGCGATGTAATGTACACGTGTAATTTTTATAACTCCACGCATGAATCGCATGGCTGTTTGAAAATGGTGGGGGGGGGGGGAGAAATGATGAAATGTTTTTTTTTCCGTCGAAAAGCCGTTCGAAAAACTAAACGTGATAATGATGACAATAATGATAATCGTTAAGATTAAAAAAAAATATAAACCAATACACGCGTCATTACCTCTGCTCAGCGCTGTGGCTGTGATGTCGTGGTCCATGAACTGACCCCAAACTGCTAGCATTACGGTAAAGTCGTGGTCCTCCTCGTATGACTCTCGGTGCACGTCCTCGCTGACTTGCTTTGCCGACGGTAACTCCGAACCATCTGTTGCTCTTCTTGGCTTCCAAACGCCTGCAAGATCGTGGCATGACATCTATATTATTGTGTTGCGCCGAACGCGTGTACGCATTCATTCGGGCGAATTTATACATATCATTAAGGCGAAATGTATAACGGCCCCTTATATGTCTAATACAGGGCCGTAGCAACCAAATATTGCGCTTGAGGTGAAACTTCAAAATGTGGCCATAAGTATTTTAATTTATAAAAAAACTCACAAAAACTGAATATTTTTTATGAACGCAGTATAAATAGTAAATTTTCCTAATAATTATGTAAGCGTTTGTTAATTTTATTTAAATCAATAACTTATTAAAATATAAACATACATAATAATTATAAATAGATTCATAGATATTATTAATAATTAATTATTATATTATAATTATAAACTATACAAGTAAATATATAAATATATAATATTAATTTTACTTATAAGTAATAAGTTAGGTAAGTTAAATTGAAATTTTTTCATTTTTGCGCTCTCCCCGGAATTGCGCTCGTGGCGTAGGTTCCTCTAGCCCCCCTATATTTATTTATGAAATTTGTGGTCTAATACGTTTCCCTTCCAAATTTTTAGAGAGTTTGGACTTTCAGTTAACCCTTAACTGATACGATTAAAAATGTATTATATTGTCGTATAATTTATTATATAATATTTATTCACAGAATTTTTTTTACTAGAGTAGTATCTCATACCATTTGTTTAATGAAATTGATTATTGTCGACTTTCTGATTTGATATTCTTCCCATGTATATTTTTGTTTTTTTTTTTTTTAGTATTATTACATAAAACATTTATTTTTTTGTTCATTAATAGAATTCATTTTTAGTAAGGTTTCCGTTTGAATTTCTTTTAAAATATTAATTGCTTAATAAATATTAGGATATAGATGATAAAATTGTGAGTTATAATTACCATGAAATGAATCAGCCTCATTAGTAATTCGAGGTTGTTAAATAGGTATGTTAATTCCCGATTATTCAACAATTTATAAATTCATCTAAACGATCGGTTAATGTCTCGCCCAAATAATATATACTCTGGTCAGGTAAATTTTGATTCATTCGACCAAATAAATTATGCCCCTGCAATTGGACGCATACATATGGTGGTGTTTGTAGATACCTTCTCCTTCTCGGCAATAAATATATCAAGTGTTTTCGTTATTTTTCAATTTTTCCCCTACCCCCTTCCATTATCCAAAACATATTTTTATTTTTATTTCATTGTAGGCAAATACTTTTTCAGGTGGTCGGTCTTCATCAAAAGTTCCTCGCCGTAACTTTATGGATATTGGACACGGGCGTTATACTTATTGGAGAGGTCGTTTTTCGATGATCCCGGTAGTTTTCTTAAGCTCAACGAAAACTGAGAAACAACTTGGAAATTATTGTGATATTCCATCCCATAACCGTTTGTAATATTTACCTCGTCGAAACGAGTAATTGTGTTTTGAAATTGGCTAGAAATTTCATAGGAGATATTTGACGGTAATTTTTTTTGAAAAATGTAAGTTATTTGAACTTTAGGATATTTTTATCATTCATATTTGCTTCAGTATTTTTATTTTATTTTTTTACGAACGTGAAATCGACTACATCGTTAATGCATATAAATAAATACAAATAACTCGATAAAGTTCATTTTGAATTCTTTTAGTAAAATACTGGTTTTTTGATTTTCACATGGTATCTATTTTCTGCCTTATTTCAACGATATTTTTTATAATTACGAACGTGTAACACAATAAACGTCAAGCCCGAACACCATTATTTTAATTGTTAGATGTTGCGCGGATTGATGTGATTAACACGTTGCGATATTAGGAACATTGTAATATTATTATTTTCGGACGTATCATGCCTTGTTATCGTTTAATGTAATAATTGTGTTGATTTCATATTCTTCTAGTATTATTTAATTACGTCCGTTTATATTCCTTTTCATAATTTAAACGACAATTTCGCATTGCATCGCTGCACGATGATATTTAATGCTCAGCACTTATTCCGATATTTTATGACCTATACATTTAAACTCGACTTCAAACATTACGCTTTTAGAAAAGAAAACACTAAGGGTGGGTTCTGAATGAGATAATCACTTTGGGGGTACGATATATATATATATATATATATGTAGGTACGATGCGTCTTTATATGTCGTTAATTTATGAAAACGGAAATATAATTACGAAATGAAAATAATTTTCATTTTGTTCGCGTATTATTTCATTTAACGTCCTTACTTTAAAAACCAACGTTCGCATTCATATCACGACAACTTAAAATATTTAAACACAAAAGTATACGGTTTTATTATTTTAATTTATTTTTTATAATGAGGATTGTAAAATTATTTTACTTGTATATATACATTATACAGTTTATGTAATAAAAAGTAAATACTACACTAAACTGTTACAATTCAACTTTTCGAGGTACTAAAAATTCCAAACGTTATAATACTTTCCCGTGTAACGTAGCATATTATGATTTTGTGATAAATTTTTTCCTGTTTTTTTATTAAGATAATCGGTCCTAGGTAGAATCGTGGAAAAAGTGCCCACGTAATAAATGATACGTGTTATTTTTCTCTATTGCCTAATGAATTCCAACGAAGTCTAAAATCAGTTTATACACTTTCGGTTATTATTTAAATCGTTTATTTGGAGTTTTTAACACATGCGCTCTGTTTGTACGACTTGCGTGGAAATGAACGAAAATTTTGAGTTTACTAATCGAAAACTAACGTTGGTCCTTTTTCTCGGTCGTTTAAAAACCGAAATATTCGACCGCGTGGACGTGTTTCAATGCGTATATTCGGCGCAGGGACACGACGATCTCTACTCGGTCCCTTTAGTTTAATTATCTTAAGCGCTACACGAACGTTTGGGCCCATTGACATTTCGAGAGAATACATTGCCTACATCATCAGCGTTGATCGAATTCGATCGTCCGACTTGGGAACATTATTATTGCTCTACCGTCTGAATAGTCTGCCGGCAACTGTCTGCGGAACGGTGTCAGTGCCGCGCCTTTGCGCGGTTCCATGACGTTGTTGCAGCTGCCCTCCACCGTCCTGTACCGACTTCGAAGCGGACAAATCACCGGATCGGGACTCGCGCACTCGCTGCTGTTGAACACCGTCGTCACGTTGTTGTCGACCAATATCATCGCATCCGTGTCCTTCGTCACGTTCAACGTTTCCCTGGAACACGGGTCGGCCGCGATGGGAAATCAGAAAATGAAATCGTAAAATCAATTTTTAACAAAACGCTTAAACAGAAATCTGGAGTCGTTCGGACGTAGTAACAGATGGGGCGTAGAAGATTTTTCCCTAACGGGACGGCGGTGCCGGGCGACGGTTTGCTCTTTTCGACGCGGATAAAACGATCTAGTAATATGACGCGTAGGAGGTGTGCAGCTGCTGCACGACAGAACACAGAGCATTGTTTCTAAAAAAAAAAGAGCCAAAAAAATGAAAAAGCAAAACATATCTTTAAATTTATGTTACACGATTTCGTGTTGCACTACAATTATCATTATATTTTTATGTTCAGTCCCAGACATTTTTATTCATTTTTGAAATACAAATTATGTTCTAATGTAATAACGATTTAATGTATTGACGTGACAAAGAAATGCTACGCTTCGGGAAAGATTAAATAGCTTAATGCTTTTAACTACCGAACGAGAAATGGCTATAAATTTAAATCCGGAAGACATTATTGATGATTTCAAAAACTTAACTGGACGCAGAATTGTGTTGTGATCAATTATTTATCAAATTTATTTTGTTTTTTCACTGAAGTATATGACTACGTTTTTGTTTATGTGCACTTTTTAAATATATTGCTGAAAATATTTCAAGTGTTAAACATATCATTTTTTTTTTCGTTATTTATTTTAAATTTGAATTTCAAATAAAATTATAATAATAAAGAAATAGCTATTTAGTTACTTTTTTTTTTAAGGAAAATATTACAATATTAAATTAAACAGTTATTTAGACGTATGTGGGTTTGTTTATACCAGAATTTTGAACGCTTAAAATAACTTTCAATGGTCAGTGACAGCCTTTTGCATACCCTGAAAAAGAGATTTGTGCACGCCTTATGCTCGTACAAGGTTGAAAATTCTTATTAGACATCAATAGGGATGCTTCATGCAAACGTTTATCGTTCGTATTTTGTTTAATCAATCGGTAGCCACTCTGTCGTTGTCCATAATATCGATTTTTAGATCAATGAAATTTTCGGAACTGTTGGAATGTAAGTTTCTGTACGTGGAATAATGGATGAAATGTGTAAATATGTGTTGAAAGTGTTAGGTGGAACGAAAAGAAGCAACCGTCCGCCTAGATTGGGGTCACATATATTTTACACCCGTGTATAATACATTGCCCACACGGACACGCACACGTACGGTGCTTAAAAGCGTTTACTTAAAATACGGTTTTATTTTCTATTTAGTTTTTCGTGTGACAATCGTGAAATTTGTTGTTTTCAAAATTATTCGAATGTTTTGATACCTTGTATATTACACTGAATTAATTTATTTTCGAAGTTCGACAAGTGCTTATTGTAAATATTTCAACTGGTGATAACAGATATTATTTTTTTTCTGTGCGGTTCCCTCAAAGTACCTATGAACAAATAAAATAAAAGTTTGTAGAGTCCCGCGGAAGCATTCCAAAATTCAAATACAAATTGTGTTTTGCTTGACTTTCATTATTTACCGAGGCTTTATTTTTTGTTCAAAGCTCAAATATTTATTCAGGTGGTCGTGTTAAAACGTAACAATATAATTTTAAGAAAACAAAACATTTTGTTCCCCAAGAAATGATTTGGTATCCGACAAAAAAAAAAAATAATTACGAGAAAAACGGTATGCCTGTAATAAAAATTGAATATAGGAATACATTTTTTTTTTTTTTTGAATTATGGTTTTTAGTTTTATTAGAATTACGTTATTATTTTGTCAGATTCAATGGCATCTCCCGAATCGCCAATGATCAATACCTCCGAAAAACCGTATCGGGTTGCATATACGGCTTCATCCTGTTTGTCCCCCTTTTTGCTTAATACCGTCATTACGATGAGCGTTCTCGTGTTGTATTTCTTCTGTTATATTATTACTTCTGAAAGTCCTGATTATTATTATTATTCCTCGTAACTCTATCCGTTCACCCCGAGTATTAAGGATTCACGTGTGTATACAAATATCGCGAGATTCATTATTTTTCCACATAAAATGTTTTACGTCACCATGTGGTTAACGTTGCTTTGCAATTTCAAATTTCCACCGAGTATTGATAAATTGATGTTAATTCAATTCTAAATTTTAATTCTTCTACTCTGGACATGGAATACGAAACGTTTTCACATATGCTGTGTAAATAACTAAGCGCGCACATCCGATGAATACTATTTTTATCTGTCCGTTGATTTCACCAACATCCGTTTTCCTTAAACACGATAAAAATAATATTTTTTCTAAATCTAAAATAATATTTCTATTTGTATACTTCATTTGTTGAAAATCTACAGCTAAAATCGATCCAATGGATACAAGAATTTAATATACAAAATGTACTCGTATATATACCTATATGTACGGAAATAAATAGGAAATAAATAAATTAATTAATAAATTCTTAGTCTGGAGTATTATCATTATTATTATTATATTTGTGATTTACGCCTGATTTGGAATTAAAAATTCATCATCAAGTATGCATAAAGTCAATGTGAAAAAATAAATAAATAAAAAGAAAAAAGAAATTAAATAACTAACCATTAACTTAAAACAAAGTCGTTTTTAAAGTTCTTTATATAAATTATTTTTTAAATATTAATTTTTCGAGAATTAATAATTTAAAAATTCTTATTTTATTTTTATTATTTAAACAGTTGAAAGATGCGTTTAACAATATATCAATATTTTCGGGCAACTCTTGTTAATTGTGTTTTTAAATAAAAATTTGGGTCGAAAAGTTGGTCGTAATAAGTATACTACTTCGAGGTTGGTTTTTTAAAATATATTTATAAAGCGTATTACAATATAATATTTTATACATTTATACCAATTGTATACCCGGAGTCGCGTAATTTCTAATATCTGTTGAATAATATTTTCCGAATATCAAGTATCGAATTACCGAATAATAATGATTCCGTCATAATCATCGGGGCGCGCGAAGTATAACGATCTATAAGTATTATCTCGCATTGTCAGGCACGTATAAAAGGGTTAAATATTGGGATTTGTGACACGCTCTTCTTATTATGGTATGAAATAAATACTATTTGGAATTTTAGCAAGTTTAATCCGTGGGTCTCCGTTACGATTATTATCTTTTACCGTGATTTCCATCGGCAATAAACAAACGGCTCAATAATGCGTACTAATGCATGTACCTATTACATTTCTAATTTTCCTTATTGTTTTCAATACTAAAACATAAAATCGTAAAATCCCGAATCTCCTACCGAGTCCTGCGCTCATACCAATAATTATTGCGATCGGAAAATATTGATTATTATTAGCTTGAAGTTGTCACGGTTAATTTGCAAACCGTCAAGTCGCGCATATGATTAGGTTATTTTTTTTGATGTAATAAACACGGTTTTCAGGGGTAGTTGGGGGGGGGCAGGTGTAAGAGAAGAGTGAAATTGAATACGCGAACTTTCAAAAAACCGTTTCTGGGCATTGAGCTCTCGTCGGAATCTAGAGGGGCCGGGAGGGTTGTTGATACAGCGTCATTCGACATCGTGCAAGCGCTGACCTCAATTTTTCAGTCGCAACGTTCTCGACGTAACCGTTCCGCGCGATCCGTATCGATTCGGGGCCGGACTTCATCACTTGCTGATGACGGTATGATGGAGTTCCGTCATCAATTGTCGGGAAGTTTTTTTCCAAATCCTCTTTGGCTTTCAAACTTTTGTAGCCTCCCTCCATCGCGAGTATTAAGTCGTCTCCGGTCGCATTTATAACAGTCTTCTGAATAATTGATGTTGCCGTCGCCTCGTCTGCTGCGCATCCATACACCCCATCGAACAACAAACATTAGAAATTAAAAAAAAAAAAAAAATAAATAAAATAAAACTCAATACAAGTACGAGATTGTAAAGGTGGAAAAAGAGACGGTTTCTACGTAGTATAACGAGATATTCGTAGTATTTAGCGCACCTCTTAAAGAAGATGCAACTTTTTTTCTTCCTTGTCTGTGCAAAATTAGTTTTCCCTCTCCTGAATGAATAAACATTTAAGATCAATAAAGTATACGCTGGCCACAAGACATCTTCAATAAGTGACCATCGCAACAATACTAATATGAAGGAATATTGTGATGAATCATTAAACGTAATATCTTGTAATATATTTATTTATAATAACTATTATCAAGTATATACTTGTTTAGGCATTTATCTAATGAAAAAAAAAAAAAAAAAAGAAAAATCATCGTCTGTATTTCATTGGATGTCATACGAGAAGCCGTCATTTTTTTATTGGATAACATAATAATCTATACTCTGTTTTTGTGTGTTTGTGTATACTAACCTTGCAATGGCCAATTGAGCATTAACAACGTATCAACCGTCGGAACGACGGTTGGCTGTATGTTTATACTTTGACCGTGGTCCAAGTAGTACGACGTACCCACTATGACGACCATGAGTAGTAATGACCTGAAAAAAAACATGCGATCTAACGACTTTGTATACTATTCCTGGATAAAAGGCCCGTATTTAGGGGAGGCACGGGTAGGCACATGCCTGGGGGCGTCAAATCTCAGGGGTGGCAAAATATTTTAGCAAAATTAATTTTAAAAATGATGTACCTATTGAAAAAAAAATAAAACAATATAAAAAATAAAATAGTATGTTTTATTATATTATAACTAGCCGACATGTCACAGCTTCGCCCATGACTGGTTGTTTATTTTGCCTTCGGACCATGATATGTAGAACTTTTTATTCAAATATTATTGTTTAATGTGATCGGCAATTAAATATAAAAAAACGGTTAATGAAAACGGATTGAAATTTTTCTAGCGTTATAAATGATAAAAATAAATACAGATAAAAAAGAAATAATTTATGGTTGATAAAGAATTTGATTGAAGTTGATGAAGAAAAAAAAAAGAATCAGCTTTAATATTTAAATAATCAATCTTGGATTGATAATATAGGTACACGCACAATATAGGTACAATTGTTTTTAATTTTTTATGAACTTTTATGAACTTTTTTACTGACAAAAGTGGTACTAAAACCTTCAGCACAGTGTCGGGTTTCAACCAAAAAAAATTTCAGCCAAATCGGTTCAGTAGTTTTCTCGGTTAGCGCGGTCGAAGAAAAACCCTTACAATTTTATATATAGTATAGATTTATAAATTAAAAAAAAAATTGTATTTTTATTATATTATAATTTGTTAATTAAAAAAAAGGAAATTGTATGTTTTATTATGTTATAATTTGTTTAATTTGTTAGTTAAAAAATGTATTAAACGATCTTCATTTATAAGTTATATTTTAATATTAAAGAATCTCGATTATGGACGAAATAATAAGTGTTATATTATTATTATTTATTTGGTAGGAAGGATAAATGATATATCCGGGGGCGCTAAATTTTTAAAAACGGGCCTGCTGGATAACTATTACAGTTGGTCCTATCGATAAGAATTTTACATCCTTTTTAATATACTATACTTTAAATGCTTTTGATTGTTTTATACAACCTATATAATGTTTTTTTTTAAGTACCCATGCAACGATCTAAAGTATATTATGGCGTTGGTTACAGGTATTGTATTCATTTTTATGACCAGGCATAATGACCTTTTTTTTCAAAAATGTTTTGATACTTATTAAAAATCGATAAACACAATTAATGTTAAATCTATATATTATACATCATTAATAAATCCTACACAATATTTTAAAGAGGGAGAGAAAGAGAGAGAGAGAGAGAAATTATTTAATTAATTAGATACAAAAAAAAAAGTTAAATAATTGAAACTAAGTGCTTATGAAAATAAGCCAACGACTATTCGTTTGCATACTAATTAGAACAAATACTAAATATAAATTACAGGGTGTATTTAATTTGACATCATGGCGTTGTATAAAAAAAACGAATGCATAACAGCTTTCATTGAGTATCTACCATAATTTATATTTATTGGAAAAAATATAGATGTATTATCAAAATCAATTAAAATATTACGAATTAAACGTGAAACTGCTTTTTTATGTACGCGTTTTATTATGATAGTAATTGTTATTGCTTAGGTAAAATTTCAATAAAATGAGTTCAATAAATATTTAATAACTTTTAAAACGTATCTAAACAATATATTCAATTGGTATAGATTTGATGATCTTTCATATCATGTAAAAATTTAGACCAAGTGATATTTTATTAATGTAATGCGTATTGTCTGTGAATTTCTCTTAACAATGAGAGCAGTTGTAAAATTTTAATTTCAAAGCATTATTATATTATTATTAACTCATTAAAATAACGAAATTGTATTGAATACTGACCGATAATAACGAAATTAATTGGGACTTTTATGCGAAAAGATGAATAGTAAGTTTAACAATATTTTTATTGATATTGCAACAGTACCACGATTCAGTTAGCAATTGAAGAACGTGAACTATATTTTTAATTATGACATTCTCAGTCATCAAAAAGGTATAAAAAAATACAAATTAAAATACGTTCAGTTTATGTTCTGATATTTTAAAATAAAAATTAACTGCATATTAATATTAATTGTATAAATAAATAAAATAATGGTTATTTTGACCGAGGCACAATAAAATAATCAAAAAAATATTAAAGAACCCAATTAAAGGCAAGTTAGTCGTCTGTGGAAGAATGATATATCCATAAACCGTAATAAAGAATACTATCGTAATTCACTCAAATCGTATGTGTACAAGAATAACACGATCGATCGTGTTTTTATCAGTTGAACGGTACACCACTATTGTACACTTCTCGGTACACGAGTAATGACATGTTTTTTACTCTGCTAAAAACAGAACACAATACAGCTTTTTATATCGCAACGCAGTATACGTGATTGTTGTGCAGACGATATCGATTCATGAGCAAGAAAATAAAGACATTTAAAAGGGCTAAACAACTTCAATAATTGATTATTCATATGTGCTATTGAACACACTTTTTCGTTTAATGTATCGTTATTTCCGAAAAATTAAAAAAAAAGAAACAAAATAGAAAAATCTAAAATCTGCTAGCCGTGGTCTGTACTCGAAATATGCCTGTACTTAAATAAAATGAAAAACCTTGATACCTTTTAGTTAAAAAAGTGTGTTCCGAATTCGGTTCTTTTCTCATTTAACATACAATATTTTGCAGTGTTTTACATTGATTATACTCAAATAAGAATCATTTTAGAATTGACATTGTACAATTTCAAATTGTGGTTTTGATATTATTGTTCGTCGAATACAATGAGATTCATGACATCTATAAATATATTTCTTATACTTAATGAAAATAATTGTAATTATTATTGATGATTTATTCACATTTGTGCTGAACGCAATTTTTCGTGTTATTAATTTATTTTTTCGAATCCCAATATTAAAAATATTAGTAACTTTTTACCAACGTAACTTTTTCTTATCCAACACATACTATTCCTACAGTCATGGCAGGTAATTTAGATACTATACACAAATAGTTTGTCAAAGGATCTAAACCCCTAATTTGTCATTCCTCCGACCAGCCCCTACTCAAGAGTTTATAGTAATTAAGCGACAACTAATAAATTACAAGCAGAGAGCAAACTACGACCTCGTTTTTACGTGGTTATTATACTAAAAATGGAAGTGGGGTGGGTAGGATAACGGTAAAAACGTGGAATCAGGTAAATCTTTTTGTTTTTAAACTTGTTAACTTGTTTTTTGTTTTTTAAATAAAAAAATTACGTTATTTGAAAAATATCATATGTTATTATTATTATATATTTTTTTCTAAAACATGCGGCAAGAACGTACACCTGCATAGATATTATTGGTTGTTTTTATATTTTTTGTACTCTTCTTCGAACCTCGTTCTTCAAATCGATCGCATAAACGTCCGACTGTACGTTTTTTCCTATACGCAAAAATCCTGAGAAAGGACATTTCGGCCCTATCGACGCTTTAATTCATTTTCGACAAACCATAACGTGAATCATATAAAATATTGTTTGAGAATATTTACAGTGCACACGTAAGCGTAAGAATAACATTGGTTGTACTAAACGAACGCGTAACTTCTGCATGTACTTCGATTAGAAACGAAACGTGTTTCGAACGCATCGGTCGCGTTTTCGGTGAACTCGTCAGTTGTCGATCGTGCGCCTCACCTTACAACAATTGTTTTCGCGAGCTAACCTCGTTTCGCGGCTTTAGGTGTAAACGCTGAAAGCGTTTGATCAGCAGAAAATAATAATACCTCTTCCTGTCGGTGGCAATTCTGAATATGGTAAGTTAAAAATTAACATAAGACAAAGCAATTGGATTTCGAGAGAGTTACGCATGTTAATGAATTCGACGAAATCATCGCGAACACGGAAAATATGAGATGCGTTTGACGCAGTACAATGTTGTACATTTTGAAGTTTTAACATTGTAATATGGGCGCGTCTGAATTATACACGCTTCCGTTGGTGCGTGGTATTGCGTTTGAGAGTTAACTATTCATAACTATAGGCGTTTAGCTATTTAAGATAAACAACGATCGCGAGTAATACAAAAGGACGAATAAAATAAAATAAAAAATTAAGGAGCTTAAATGGACGCGCGTCATTTCTGCGAAAGTATGTTGTTACGCCGTAGTTGTGTCTTTCTTGAACATTTATAATATAATTGTACATGGCCGTCAAGCCATGCGGTTAAATTCATTACGAACATTATTCCGCTTTAAAATCTCACGGTCGTGAGATCACGCTTTTTCAACGTCGCCGTTGTGTAATCTTGAGCTTATTTTTTGAATCAGCTGTGGAATGGGATCCATCCGTGCGGTCATAAACGTGAGATTCCATTATACCCTTTAAATTATAGATTGAGGCGAAAATCGATAAGCCTACTTAAAAAGCTATATTTTTCCGTTCGAAGTTTCACATAAAATGGTTTGGCCGGTGTAAAAAAAACGCGGAGTGGATAAGATAGAGCAAGGGTGTAGTGGATTATTTATACAGTACAGTTGTAAAAACTGTGATGTGAAAGCAAGAGGAAAAGGATTTCTGTCGGGTAGCTCGTCAAAAACACTTTTCAATATTTTTCCCTCTTAAATTATTATCCGAGAGTATTTCGATGTAATAACAGGTTTTGCGCGGTGAAAATTGTCCTCGACAAATGAGCAATTCCTCGTACACACTATCAGAGTTCGATACACGTAATTACAATAACAGAGGATACATTTTTCGAGAGTTTTCAAAATTTTGGAGATTTGTTCAGTATTTACTTAGTAAACTATAACGTAAATGCAAAATATCGATTTCATTCCTTATTTTGAGAATATTTGCTTCCCCATCAATGAAAATATTGCATTTAACTAGTTTCCTTTTTCTGAGCGATTAAAAATCGTTTAGTAACTCGCTGGCAGTTCAGAATTCGATGACAATTATATAGAGGGGGGGGGGAGGGTTCAGAAGAAT